TAGAGTCATTTTTCTTTGTTAGATGAAACAAGGTTCGCTAAGAGTCAACACTGACTAGCACACGTGCACCAAAAAGTCGACATCGTAATTTTGAAGCCATTTTCCACTCACATTTTATCGCGCGCGCCCGTATAGAAAGTGCCACCAAAATAAGAAAACCATTATTGAACATTTAAGCGCGGATTACATTTCCTCAAAACGATTATTGTTTATTGTTATTATTTCAATCATTAGGAAAAAAGTGATTTTAAATATAAAGTGCCTCGTGATTTTGTAAAATAGAGTTGAATCGTTGCAGCGAAAAAGTAGCTCTTATTTTTCTCCAAATAATACTGGAACATGAAGTTTTTTTCACACGGTTTATTTGTTGTAATACAACAAATAAACTATTCATAAAGAGCTACTGTTTCGCCGCAACGATTCAGTTGTTGATTGCATTTGATTAGTGTGGTTCATGTAATTGACTGCTGACGTTCACAAAAGATTTATTGATCATAAAGTTTCAACGCAAATACATAGAAATTAGGCAATAAGTTTCAATTCCATCGAACAAAACTCGAATTGAATTGATCAGCAGAAATGCAAATTTTCGATTCAAATGAATTTGTACTTCAACCTCTTCATCTTTCACTTTATCTTCATCAAAAACTTTCTGTCAAATCAATTCAAATTGAATTTGTCTAAATGTCTGCCAATGAATTTAATTGAATAGGAATTGATTCGGTGCATTTGCCAAGGCAGAAAGCCTGACGCATTTTGCATCAAACGATGTCGATTCGATGAGAAACGATAACAAACAGACCAAAGAAAGTTGTGCATTGAAATTTGATTATTCAACATTTCAGTGTCTGCCTTTCCATCGTAAAATTCGTGTCTTTAAATTGTTTAAAATGTACGTATAAATAATAATCGCACCGATCCAGCCAACCGAATGCTACACAATTTTCGCTCGGAAATGCAAACCTCGAGTCAAGTGTATGCGACGAACATCATTTGATTGTAGTAGTTTCGAAATGTAACTGCCAATTATTAAACTGTTTTCGTAAAAGTTTATCCCACCGTTGTTGAATGTTTTCGGAAGCGAACAACCCGGAATATAATTGCAGAGAGTGGCTGAAGCATTACGCGTCCATGTATTCAAATCGGTCGCATATGTTTTGCTAAGTACACCGCCATCGACTAAACTATGCGTTAGAACTTTATAGTTGTTTCCCTCGTTGTCGTCATCATTGTTTTTGGCGGCAGTGCAAGCACAACTCAGTTGTTAAACGAAACGAAACAATTGGCGCTAAATCTTTATCGCTTTGAATTCAACACTTTCCCCACAGTGCTCTTTTTTGGAATTGTATGGATAAAGAAAAATCTCCAATGCTCCAATGCCAACAAATTCAAATGAAAAAGTTATTTTTGAAGTGATGATCACATCGGTGTTGTGTGTACTCATGGCATCTGTTGTTCGTCTCTCATTAGGCGAAAATGTGAATGTGCTCATTGATAATGTTGTTGGCAATCGCATCGACGATGTCTAACGGAAAAACGACCAAGTTTATAATTTAATTTGTAAGCGTGTTTTTCTTGTAAATATATTCTCCTGGCGTATTCAACGCCGAAATGTGATTTAATGCAAACGAGGGACGATGATGCGGCAACAATACCGTCGTGACGAGTCAAAAGGCGCGTATGGTGCACGGGTCTTGTATATTGATTAGCCAATGATTGAAGCGATGATGATGAATTAAGTTCCGTGAATTTGCTCGCGTGACAAAAGTCTTTTACGAAGAAAAGCGAAAAAAAAGTCAGTGAATGAATGATGAATGACACAGAAGGTGAGACGCAAAGCGTCTAGATATCCAATTAGATTAATTTCATCGTAGATTTTCTATCTGCGTTCGTTCTCATATTGCGTTTACTTATAGAACCGACCGAGAATTATAACTTTTTGTGATTTATGAATGGAAAATTCGAACGCATCCGTTGCTAATAATAATCAATTGCTACAGCAGATGGAACACAAAGTAATGTGCTCGAGATGTGCACTTCTAATTTAAGTGGTATGAAAACAAAACGAATGGAAAATGGTTTTGGCGCTGATTGTTTGCACTTCATGGATTTGCCAAACTGAAGATAAACTGCAATTATAATATAAAATAATTGCTGATTCTCTTTCAACGAAAGATAATGTGCGTGTGATAATTGCTGAAATGTAAAATAGTATTGTGTTCGTTTGGAACAGAGTAACATTGACGATGCAACATCATCGATGGAGCGCAAAGACGACGCAATTTTCATTCACGTTTGACCTAAACTTAAACATAAAATGGAAATAAGCATTGGGGTCTATCAACAATGCATTCGACACTGTTTGTTTTGTTGAGAGCGCGCATAAGTTTCTACTGTTGATTTGATGAAAACCTGATTCAACAGACAAAATCCAGACGATTTGTTTGGTTTGGTTAAATTTCTTGAAGATGGAATTGGTGGTTTTGGATGACTTATGAATTTCCAACCGAATTGAATGCACAGTGCACACAATCTTTCCTATATATTTTATACGATTCGTTCGCGTTTACGTTGTGTCTAGAGCGTCGAGAAAGCAAGTCTCGATTGCTTGGTCACCACTGCCGCCGACGCTTTAGCCAAGCTTAGCTTACCAGTGCTATGAAGTGTTTTACATCAAAATGAATTGCAAATGTTTGCGAAAATTGTGTCTGCAAAATTAGAAAAGCACCAGTACCTTCACTCTCCCCAGCCATCCGAATCATTCGGTAGACTGTAAATTCTAAAGTGTCATTGCTGTGTGTGTGTTCGTTGAATGGAGTTTGATAATTGGTTTTTGCTACAATTGCGATTTGCATATCGTACAAACAGAGAGCAAGTGCCAGCAATACAATGTAACAGTGTGCTTGATGCACGCAACAGTGCGCCGATATATATACATACAGCCGAAATTTACGATGTCGGTGATTTTTTACATTCGGTTGAGTGAAACCGATGAGCAAAATGTAATTTGTTCATGTGTACGAATGAGCTCCCCTGACACATGACTTATGTTTCGTTCCAATTAAATGCGAAAACTGCACGTCTCACCAACGAACCCACGCACACTCACACATACAGTTCCCAAAAGCGCTTCTCTTCACACATTCCATTCGATAGTCTATGAGACCGTAGCTATAATTCCGGGGATTTGGGGGATATAATCAAGAGTGCCGCTACAAACGAACACCAGCAGATTAATAACGAGCGAATTGTTGCAATGAAATAATGATTAATGCGTCTAATAAAATGTAATTTATTGTTTTTAATGCAATTTTGATACCGTTTATTAGCGAATAATTCATTTAAAGTGAAACATCTCGCTCCCCTTTTATCAACTATCACACTCGCTGTAAGCGCAGATAAAGTCAAAACAAATTCAATGAATTTCAAACTGAATTATTGCATTCGAATGTTTTTCACTTCACTTTTTGCTGATTCTCTGTCTTGCTCTCTTCGGGTCTCTCTATCAATTGAAACTTTTTCTTCAAAAGATACTTTAGTTTGACTTTGACGTTGCAAATGAAAATGCATTAAACTTTTCCATTTCTTTACAAACATCAACGAACGAAATGCACTCTTTGAATTTCGTTTGCGATTCAATTCAGCGAAGCCGGAAATAACGAAACTGACATTTATTCTTTCAATAAAGTCGATTCACTCTGATTGCAGCACAATTTTCAATCGGAGATAATTGTTACATCAGACAGACAGACGGAGAGGGGAAGAAATAGAGAGAAGAAAAACAAAACTCCATTCGTTCTTTTCATTTTCAAATAGCGCCAAATGAAGCCATGCTATTTGGAGAACAGTTTATCAAGCCGCACTTTTTCGAAATTGTGTATGGAATACGAGAGAGAAAGGGAACGAAAGGTAAAAAGGCTCATCATTTAATTCAGCTCGTTGAACTTCAATTTATTTAATTATCGTTCTCCATAAAAATACTTCTTACGTTTCATATGTGCGTATGTACTGGTTTTCGCCTGAAATTCAAACACTCTTCTTCATGTGGAAAACTGATCGCGTTTTACATGAATAAAGAAAACACTCGAAAACGAACATCAAAATTTACCTTTGGTAAAATGTAATCATTTAATTTCGTTTCTGAATTCCTTCTTTTCGACATTTTTCGACCATTGGTTCATGTGCCCGTTAAAAATCCCATCGTAAATGGTTTTTAAAACTGACTTCCAAAATGAATGTATTCATTATTTTGACTCATCCTTAATCTTGCCCGCACCGCACATATATAACAATCCACTATCAGTTGCCTTTTGGTGTGTGTGTTTTTTAAATATTATGTGCAATCCGTTGAATGATGAACGAACCGAACGAGTTTGATGTTATTTGTATGAGAGCTCTTATCGATTAAAAGCATCCACTTCCTCGTAAAAGCGAATACGTTAACCCATTACGACTAAGTGTATCAATAGTTTGAAATGGAGAATCAAGTGTATAATTGTCCGGATTTCTGGTTTACCTGTTTTGAAGCGGTAATACATTACACGTTATATCGCATATTGACAAAGGGGCATTCTGGTATTTGATTATCCAATCTCGGCATTGACACAAGGCAAAGTATCTTGTTTAATACATCGACCGTCGTCTGTTCAAAGAAAATCATTCATGCATTTGGCATTCAAGCAAAAATACACATTTTATTGAGTAAGCACGTTCATTCATTTACTGATACTCTTTTTGCGTTTGGAAGGCCACGGTTTTTTTTCATGCAACTTTAAAGTTACATCAGTCGACTCACCTTTTGTATAGTATGTTTACATTTTTCCAAGTTTCTCAACGATCCTTTTAAAGCTTTTCATTTGTAAGGTTTTTTTTATCTTTTGTTTATTTAATCAATGAATATTGATTCCACAATGCTATTACATTCGTATTTCAATGAGTTGAAAAGGACTTTTACGATATAAAGTAATAGACAATATAAATAGTAAATGCAAAAATAAAAGTAAAGTTTTCAATCTGTACAGAGTTTTTGACTTTAAATACAATCGAAATAAATATAATAATATAGTTTCGAAAAAAAGAACTCAATTTTACCGTCAAAAACCACAACATTTGGGTTGCTTTACATCTGCTTCAACTATATGATCATATTCAAAGGCCTTACAAGTTACCATCCTGTTCAATACTTCGGACCTATAAATATGTTTAAGTAATTAGTGAAATTAGTATTAAATATGTTTTTGTTCACATTACCATGAGCGATGCACTTTCGTGTAATTCAATTTGTCGGTCAAAATATTCGACGAATCCGATATAAAAAGGCCGGCTGTAACTTTCACACCACATTTTAAACAGATTTGTTCATTCGCTCTGAGAAGTGCTTTGCCAATTCCTTTGCCACGATAATTTGGATGAACAACAAATGCGCTGGTTATCAAATATTTACGAACGTTAAACTTCTTAAATACAACATCACATGCACTCTAAAAAAATTGGAAAGAAAAAATTGAACTTGTCCTCTGTTTTTTTTTATTTTTATTCACCGGTATTCCTGAAGAATTCGTTTTTATTTCCAAGATATTAACGCCAATGATGTCTTGTGTCCCAGGCTTAAAGCAAACGAAAGATAGACCTTTCTTGAGCTCTTTTGCCCATGCCGTTTTTGCTCCGGTCAAATCTTCACAAAAATATCCACACAATTATCAAAAAATTATTTCAATAATAAATGAGAAGAACTCACCAACATTTTCGTCATCAGACATGTATTTGACCACAAATTCCGATGCTTCTTTATATTTTGAAGAAGGCAATGGTTCAATTTCATAATTTGCCAAAATACTCGAGGAAAAAACTAAAACAAGTGTAAAAATCGCCAATTTTCGATATGACATTTTAAAGTTTTTATTGAACGGAATAATTTGATGAAATGTTTTTGTTATTCCAACTGATAAAATATAACTGAATACAAGGCCCTTTATATTATTTATTGAAAAAATTCACGTTGGTATATTTTCTCAATTCATGACGCTTTTTATTTGTTTAGCTGTTAATAAAGAATTTTATTCGCGAATGGTGTGAACTCTTTGCAATTAAACAAGTTACGTTGAATATATTACTTTATAAAGTAATGAATGCTACGTGGAAAGAGTTTTTAACTTTGAATAAAACAAAAACATATATCATATATGTATATGATCATCCCTGCGACATGACAGTGTATTGCAAAAAGTGACATGGTGGCGCCATGTACAACATGGTGGTGAAAGAACAAATTTTCATGTAAGAGCATGTACGACCACATTATTGATGTTAGTTGTTATCAACTTGGATGAAATAATTTGTGGTCGCAAATGCAAAATGTGCGTGGTCGCAAAGAGTGATCATAAAATTTATCCATTTTCAAAAATAAAATGTTTACAATTAGAAAATTCCTTGCGATTTCATCATTTTTGTATTTAAAATTTATTTCATTTAAAAAAAGTAGAAGAAAAAACAAATCGTCTATCACAGTGTGGTCGCAAATACGTTGTGTGGTCGCACATGCAAAGTTTGTTCTTTCACCACCATATTACAGGTACATGGCGCCACCATGTCACTTTTTTCATGTCGGGGGGATGTATATGATTTACATCACATGGTTTAATATTCACTGTAGTGTGCACAAGTAGCGTAGCGTTAGAGTTGTGGCACCGCTTACAATTATATCTATGGCATGGATTTTGATTGCATGGATATATCCTCTTGTAGAATGGCACCTGTTTACACCCTTGCTTTAAACAGGTACAAGGGTAGAAACTAAAGAAACAGGAACATTTATTGACATAAATACTCAATAGACAAAATTTTTGTTTATAAATTTTTATAATATTGTTTTTCTATCATCGTGACTATTATTTTGATGTCAAAACACGTTCGTATTCCATAAAAGTTGTTTTTATTACATTTTGTTTTTTTCATATCCAACAGAAAGGTGGTTTTGTTTGAATCGCCTTTCAATTTCCAGCTAACGACAAATAACAATCTCATGTATGTCTGAATGGGATTATGTACAGCTCGTGTTCATGCTCATGATTACCATGTTCGAACTTCTAATTAGGAAAAAAGCAATATACTTTGATATTGCATATAAATCGAGTAATTTAGTGAAATTACGCCCATTTTTGTGTGGTGTGATTGAAAAGTGAGACTTCGGTCTCGCCATATATGAGATGCGATGAAATTAACCAGTATTTCATGAAAGTCAATCATTTTTTTTTATTGACAGATTAACGGACACTCTTGATGTAGATCACTTGCAATGCTTTCATTAAAATATACACGATGCCAAAACTATAAAGCAAACAAAACGGTTGGCTAAGTGATTGAAATATATACAGCCATTTAATCATACACCGTATGAGACAGACAAAAAAGCACCGATCAAAGTCATGAACATAGTGAGAGTCAATTACGACAACAACGCACTATGGATAAAACAGATTTGTTGTTTGTACTGGAAAGGTGAAAATTTATAACACTCGCCACTTGTAATTTGCTTAATTCGTTCCTACCTTAATTGCATTGCTGTGAATATTTTCATAAACGTAACGGCTGCAAGGAATTCAAATCGTTTTTATTAAGAAAATATGGTCGCAAACACAAAGTCAGTTACTATATGTGGCAAGGAGAAAATAAACACCAGTAACTCGAGGTCATTTGCATATTTGCCAATTGGCATATAGACTGGAGGCAATCGATGCTTCATATGAGAGCACTTCAACGAGATATAGTGAAAGTAATGTATTTTCTATTTACGATCGATTCACATACATATATTTTATTACGGACACCAAAAATGACCATTACATTGTGTTGATATTTTTTTTATCACACGCTTGCAGCGTACAAACATTTTGATTGTTTGAGAAAATGCTGTCAAAATATCATTATAATTATGTGAGGTAGTGATACCTCGAGAGATTATTTTTTTCCTATTGAAATTTACAATTGGCACTTCGTTTGCATTCAATTCGATGTGAAATTGAAGATACACACAGGGGAAAAAACGTTTTTTTTTTTCAAATAACTTCTTTTTCCCAATTACTGCTTACACCTTTAAGTTTACTTTGCTCATTGCATGCTCAACCGAACACACACACATTTTTTTTTTCGTGTGACACAACTTACTTTGTCGCATTTCATCATCTACTTTGAATGTGCGCGATGTGCGCATATTTTCAACATTTCCCAAGAGATATTCGTGGTGATAATGAGATTGGAAGTCTGTTGGCAACAATTTTTGTTTTTCAATTCGTATAAAAAGCTGTTTACAATGTATTGACATTCACTGATTCAATTAACTTTGTTACTTCGTATTTTCATGTTTATTCTTCTTTTGCTTTCAGGACTGTGTCTAAAAACATTTGACAAGAGTGAGAAAAAAGAACGCCGCCACGTCTGAAATATTTCCAAACGGTATGTACTTAAAAACTAAGTTTTAAACAAGCGATTGAACATAAAATAAAACGTTGCTTTGTTGAAGATAATATGATTGATTTTGCCATTGATGTTTATTTTTATCGTGGAAGCAGGAATAGAGTTATATGAGTGCGAAGAAACGCATGAATTTCTTTGTAAACAAAATACTTGAATAAATCGTCTATTATTCACTTAGTTTATGTACGTTCGATGATTTGTTTGCACAACTTTTGTATGTATAATACTCGTGTCAAGTTTTACTTCGCGTTAATTTTTGAAAAGTTTTTTTTCCTCCATCCGAAAATGTTGCAGCCGTCTGAAAAAGATGTTAAACAGTGACATAATGCTTTTGTCAATGTAAAAGAAATCGTTTACCGTCTCAGCAAATGAATTCATTTTCAAACAAATAAGTCACATTTCGAAAACATTTTTAGCCATATCTCTTTTTCACGCACAAGCACAAAGTACTTTTGTGAATGGAGATGAGTTTTGTTGCTTTCATCTTCAATGGAAATCCATATTTGATTAATAGATTTTCCTCTTGGGCTATCACAAGACTTGATAAAGCTTTTGGATATGCTGAAAGTGTATGTATTTTGAGTGACTTCAAATGAAAAATCGATTGACAAGCTGGCGCCAATGGAACGACAATTGTACGCAAATATTTAGGCATTGGGAATCGTGCAATTTACATTTTGCTCTCAAGAACGCAAATTAATCTAGCCAGATTACTTTCAATATGATGTGAATATTATGTGTCCGAACCTAGAATAGTGAATGACAGTCATCGGTCCATTGAGAAAATACATTTAAATTTTTCCGCTTTCTAGCATTCTTTTTTTGCTGACATTCATACACACACACTCGTCTACGATGGATTTAAATTAGAAATAATAATGGCTGTCAACTTCTGTTCACATCGGGTATAGATATAATCGCCGGTCATTTGTTCACATTTCTCTCTCTCTCCTCTCTCTCTCTCTCACTCACTCACTTTCGATATCAAGTTTGCGTTGCGTCATTCAGCATTTTATTATTCAGTGACAAAGCATTTTTTTTTGCAACGGTCCTCAGACGCTTTTGTCATCTATTCAATTTTCATCTTTTCCATTTTGCTAATAGTAATCGAGTATTCTCAAACGATTTATTAACGGCAGCAAGAAAAAAAAACGTGTGCACAAAAAGAAGAATTATAATATTTAGCCAATGGACAATTTTGATTGGAAAGGATATATTGTTACTTCGAGGCGAATTTGCCATCACAAATGCTTTATCAGACTCTTCAAAATAATTCGCAATCAATGTTAATACTACGGCAGGAAGCCTCTGTAACGTTATAACAAAATAAATAAGATAAAGATTATAGGAAAAAATTGAATTTCACAAAATTCCGTATAAATCATCGAAATCAATTGATGATGGTGCTTGTTGTGCAAGAGACGAAATGGAAAATGCCAGTTACAATAATCATTTTGAAGAATAATGATGAAAACTCTTTTTCGTTTACTTCAGTTTCGATAGATATTTTTATATTGGCAAATGCGAACGTGAAATCATTCGGGACGAACAGATTTTTTTCTCGTTTAACACAGAGAGTGAGAGCGAGCACTCGTGGTAGTTTCCTATAGGTCATCTGAATTTATTCAATTGTGGTAATGCTCATTTGTGGTGGCCGAATGAGGCAAAAAAAATAATACGCATGAAAAACGTACGTTATACGACAAAACTACAGCGAGTAGTTGAAGTGAGCAAAAAAAAAAAAGAATGAACGACGAGGGGAGAAAAAGCAATTGTCTGCAAGTCAGCATCATTGCTGTATTATATGTGGCCAATAGCTGCAACGGCCATTCTCGATCTGATAATGCAATAAATTTTCTACTTGATGTGATTGAATGAACCTCATACACAAATGCACTAGAAAAGCACACAAACTTTTCCCAAACACAATCAAAACCACAGTTTGTGTGGTTAAGCCAAACGAAAATATGAATAAGGTTTTTTAAAAAATCATAAATTTTCTGCGTTGTTAGCGAGAATTCCGGGAAAAATTTTCCCTATTCGAAACGTCACAGTGGTAAAGTACTTTAGCAATTTATAACCACATCTGTTTTTTTTTTTCGTTTCTCGTCTCGTAATGTACAATCAATTTTTCGGTTGAAAATCGCATGCAATCGATAAACTTTCAGCTCCGATCATTAAGAAGAAAAAAACCCACATGAAAACAACTTTTGAAAATCACACAGTGCTCAAGTGCATTTCAAAATGCTCTTTATTAAGTTTTTCAATAGTTTATGATTCGGTTTCTCCGCATCAATATATTTTTGTTTTTGCTTCGGTTCGCAGTGAATGTGACTTATTCCGCTGTTCGTCTGGTTGAGGTTGCTTGCACTAAAATATAAATGCAAAGTCAAAGCGGCTTTCTCACCGAATGCAAAAAGAGAAACAGCAACGATGACGATGGCAAATATATGAGCGTTATCAATGTCAATTATTCAATAGTTAAATGTGCAATAAATTTCATATCAGCCAAGATTTATCTGCTAGTGTGTGATGCTTACAGCCAAAACGGAAGATATACTGACAAGCAAAAAAATTGAATGCAACGGATGATAATGATTTTTCATGGAATGTGCATTGCCGGTACGAAAATGAAATGGTTTTTAACTAATTTATATTCAATCACGGTTATAATCATTAATTTTCATGCGAGAGAGGAAGAGTTGAAGTATTCGACGTGAGTTGTTTTTATGAAAGTTTTTTGTTGGAGCGAATGATGACTTGATTTTTTTTGTGAAAAAGTCTCATTTCAATGCCAATCGTACGGATGCAATCCATTTTTTATGAATCAGACCTTTGGCATTGAAATATCCATTTTTATAACTGACACTTTGACTTTTCGATTACAGCACAGCTCTTGAGAAATTCTTTTTTTTTTTATTGGAAGTTGTTAACCTGGGGCTGGGAAATAATACTATTATATTTGGTGCGGAATCGAAATTACTTCGTTTTGCAATTACAGATAAACGTTGCCGCTTTTTCCCTTTGTCATTGGCTAAAGTATTGCTCTTATCTGAATTATCCAATCGAGTCATATACGGGCGACCATTTATTTGAATGCCTACTCCGATTTTTGCGATCGAAAATGAATCGAATCATATGACAATTCCAAAGCAATTCTCGGAATATACACATAAATGTCATACATTTGAATTTCAATAAAAAGAAATTCTCTCCAACAACCCATGTTCATTGTACAAAGACGCAAAATTCTATTGCTTTTTTATGCGGGATAAATTTCCTTTTTTTCTGCCTCCTTCTTTATATTTTCGTCAACCATTTCAAAACAATTTCAAATCGAATTTGCGTATTGGTATGTGATGCAAAGCGACAAAACCGGATCAACAACCCTTGCATGACGATAGATTTTTTTCCCTTTTGCAACATATTCCCCGAATTGTGACATATATCCAGTTGCTTTGTATCGTCTAGTTGTCAGTTATTGTTATGGAAAATGTCGAAAATGTAATAATATCATGTTCAAAGATTTTTCTGGTGAACCTGTTTTCAATTTTATCCATCTCCCCCAATGGAATTTGAATTCAATGTGAACATTTCATGCATGACAAATGCAATGGGAATCAAGAGTTTCACATACCGTATCAACTGTCATCTATTCGCCAAAAAAAACATGCATGGGCTTACACGCATACATAAGTAACATGCATTAGAATAAAGAATCGAAAGATTAAAGACAAAGTTCCTTGCCATTTTTTTCTCGTTCTCTTTCATCTCGAATAAAAGTTCGTCGAGAAACTGCAATTGTCTTTCTTCTCTTTATTGAGGTGGCGCCGGAATATCTCTCCCAAACTATTATTAATTCGAGAAAAATTGTCTTGGATTTCAGTCTCGTCGAATCTCTTTTTGAACGCAATGTATACTACCGATTGTTTGACAAAATGACATTCGAACGGTAAGTCAATGCAAAACTTTTACGCCAACTACGACACATTTGCTTGGCATCAACATTGGTAACAGCCGCAGCAGTCGAAGACGTAACAAAAGAGTTCGATATTTTTGTGCCAGTATTAAAATGGTGAACAAGCCATATCTCTTTTCACATAAACTTTAAAAAGTTGACTTTTCTATGCATTATATCCAGCATCTCAATTTCAACTTGTCATGCATTTTTGCACTTTCGGCGCTCTTACATTTTAAGATAACATTTGTGAACAGAAAAAAGAAATGTCTCATATCCGTTTATAAGTTTGAGTTTTCATACCAACATTTATTTATATTTTTTTGACTTTCGTGAGAGACGAAGGAAAAAAGTTTTTCCTGGAACAAACACCCGGCGAAAAAAAAAATACGAAATACAAACTAAATCCACGCAACAATTCCTTATATTGCGGGCTGCAAAAAAAATCGGATGAAAAACCAACCAAAACAAATAAAATAACAACAAACAAAGAGTGAAGAAAAAAACGACAATTTTTCCAAACAAGAAAAAGACAAACATTAGAGCTGAAGCTGAAAAAATATCATCGTGTCATGGCACGATAACCACTGTGCAGAACGAAGCACACCATCGACGTGTACGAGCAGCTGCAGTTTTTTTTCTCTCTCTGCCGTTACAATATTTCTCTGGTACGGACATGGATTAAAGTACGTTCATTTGGTATAGAACGACAGAGCATGCAGTACACACAGTTGACATTTTTCTATTTATTTAATAGTCTGTGTGAGGATGATGCGATCAATAGCTTAAGTCGGTTATAGCTGAGCTGTACGATATCACAAATTAGAAAATTCATCGTCGTGCGAAAATCCGCTGGTAACGTGTAACTGTGTAACTAACCAATTTTCTCAATATATGGGATACAGATTGCGAGAAGTTCACACTTCTTAGTTCTCATTCAGGTCTATGTGTGCAAGATTATACTTAAAACGAAAATGAAAAATTCGCACACGAAAAATTGTACGGACGAGAAAGATAAAGT